TTTTAATCTTTCTTTTTTTAAAAAAGAAAAAGCCCCCATCCTGTGTCATCATTTTTATGGGATCTGCAATTCTGGCAAAAATCTGTCTTTAATTTAGCTGTCCATATAAAAATCCTCACTGTATAATAATGAACAGATGCCATGGAATTTAAGCTGGAGCCTCGGCTCCTCCCCGCCTTCCCCCCGCGCCTGGCACCGGGCACCGGGCACCGGCTGAGTGGCACAGACTGGCACAAACACGCGAGCGAAGGGTGGGCAGGGGGCGACCTGGGCTCAGCGCCAGGGCTCCGGGGTGGTGGAGGTAGATGGGGCTCAGGGCTTGGGCAGGCGGGAGCTTTTTTTGCGGAGGCACCAGAGGGAAAGCGGCTGAGGAATTTTTCTGTCATTTTCTACAAAATGATCAGTAGTTAAGGATTTGGGTTTGGTTTAGTTTAGGGGCTTTGTGGTTCTTCTGGGGTCTCTCTCTCTCTCTCTCTCTCTCTCTCTCTCTCTGTGTGTGTGTGTGTGTGTGTGTGTGTGTGTGTGTGTGTGTGTGTTTTAAAGTACCGCCCAGTCTGCCATATAAACGCAAATATTTCAAATATTTTAATTGAGTTGTTTTTAATCCCCGCCTTGTGCAGCGCCCCAGTCTCGGCCTGGGAACCCAGTTCGCAGCAAGCGGGATCGGCTCTGCGTCGGGCGGGCCGCAGCCTCGGCTGAATTGCCAGCGCCAGAGCCTCCAGGGGCTCCCTAGCGGCTGGAGAGAGGCCAGGGTGCCTTACTGCCCTGCCAGAGGGACGCCCCATGTGACACCTGAGGGGGAAGTGGGTGAGACCAAGGGAAGAGAGAACGCTCCACCTGACCTCACCCCAAATTTCGCTCCGTTCCCAAGAGAGAAGAAAAAAAGCCCAAGAGCGTCCCGGGTCCTCTCTTGCTTCTGGCTGCGGTGGACAAGGCCGGCACAGGCCTGGGTTTTGAGGGGTTGTTTCTGAGCCCCCTACCCCCACCACTCGCTTTTAATGCGACTCTGGCTAGAACAGATGTCCCAAGCCGGGCGGACTGCCCAGACCCCGCCCAGCTGTGCCCTTGGCAAAGTCTTGGCTGAGGATAGGAACTGGCATGGGGTCCCCAAAGGGTTTGTGAGCTCCTGCAGCCCCAGCGGGACCTGACCTCTCAGTCTTGGCCTCCTGGCCAGCTCAGCCTGAGGCGGGAAGCGGGGAAAACCCCAGAAAGACCCGTTTCTAATTCAATTAATTCCAAAAAAGAGAAACAAGGAGAGAGATGCAAACAGGGCTTGAGAGAGGCCAGGAGACAGAGAGAGGTTGGAATCGCGAAACACGCCAGGCACGCACCCTGGGTGTGGAACTGAATTGTGCACCCCACCCCACCCCAGTTTGCCTCGGAGAGGCTGGGCTACTGCGCTGGAGTGAGCCGAACTGGCAGTGCCAGAGACATGCCCAGGGGCACAGCTGGACGATGTGCTCCATCTCCCTTGGCATGGCTAGGGCTTAAACCCATCACCCTCTCCTTCAGTGCTACCCAGCTTCCCTTCTCCTCATTTTGGGACTAGGAAAAGAACAGCCCTGGCATCCCCCTGCAAGCGTTAGGTGCCCTCCCCCAGGTGAGCCTTCTCCACTCTGTCCAAGGCCTGCCGCTCTGAACCCAGTGCCTGAGGATAAAGTTTCAACAGCAAGACAGTCGTCCCCAGGCAGCAGCCCCCCACCGAAGGCTCCTCACCCAGGGAGAGTTGGTGGAGAATTTTTGAAGGCTTCGGTGAAAAACAAAACAAAACAAGACAAGGTGCAGAACCAAGGAAGGGCAAGGTTTGCAGGCTTCTCAGAGTCCAAGTGTCACCTTCATTCTAGGCCAGTGGCCAACACCTGGTTACCCAGTCTCAGGAGAAAAAAAAAAAAATCCCAGCGAGAGCATCTTGGACTGGAGTCTGGGAGCCTGTCTAGGCAGTGCAGGCCCTGTCCCCACTCCCTCCCTGTAGACAAGAAGCTTTCCCCTTTGAATGGTCTAAACAGGTCAGAATGGAGCCCTGGGCTGCCTAGCCCTCGGGTGTCACATGGTGGGGCCTTGGGAGTGGAGATCAAGACTGAGGCTGGCCAGGGGTGGCTAGTGCTGCCTTTGACCCCTTCTACCTGGAAAACTAATCTGTGGGGGTCTAGAACCACACTTTGTCCTGCAAGTCCCAGAAATCCACAGAAGCTTCTAGGAGTAAGTGACTCCCTGTTAAAGGTTCCTGGAAGAGGAGGAAGTCAGGGTTGGGCAAGGAGAAGGAAATCTCTGCCCTCTGTCCACAGATCCTGCATCTGGTGGCTATGGAGGGGAAACAAGCTGGCATGCTGCTGCTTGTGTGGAGCATCAAGAGTGAAGGACTCCCCAGTCGCTGGTCCACGTAGGACCCAGCTCTCTTGACTCTCCCAGTGGTTCATCCTGTTATTACCCTAGGTGATAAAATCCGAGTTTCACTGGTGGACAGTGACAGCCCAGGTGGTGGTTGGGATGGAATTAATTGGTGAGAGGAGAAGCAGCTATACATTCCTTTCCACACACTACCAGCTACGTAAACGGGTTTCTCTGTTTCTCTGCCATTTTCAGATGCTGGGCATGGATGGGGGCTGGAAAAATCAAGGCAAACACAGCTTCCGGATTGAACCTGGCTACAGCCATTGGGTTGGGCAGCCCAGGGGTGGTTGTGAGCAGGGTGTGGAATGCTTGCTTAGGCTAGGGAAAGAAAAGAATCCTCTCCACGCTTTCTGCTCCTGGCCACCACCCTGCCCCAAGCCATGCCGGCGCCCTTTCACCTCCCCCCTCCTTCTGTTCATGGAGCTTCTCTGGATGTGTGTGCGGGCAAGCCAAGCGAGAGAAAGAGATCTGTGAGGGGGCGTCTGGGGCCGAGTGTCCGTGCACATCTTCTTCTCCTGCTCATCCTTGCCATCTCACCAGGGCGGTTAAGTGTTGTGTTGGGGAGGAGAGTGGTGGTGGGAGGCTAGAGTCAGCCAGAGTGCACTGAGCATGGGGAAGGTCAGGAATTGGAGTTGGCTGCTGGAGGGACTCACTAGAGGTAGGGGCTCCAGTGTCTCTGCCCCCAAAGGGGTCCTTGTATCCCCACATGGCCTGACCCATAGATGCAATGGCCCCAGAGTCATCATCATCCTTCAAATGAGGCTGGAATCTGGCTTCAGACTAGAATGAAACAGTGTGGGGTAGCTGGACAAGCTATGGAGAGGAGTCTGTGATCTAGCCAGGGGAGCCACGTGGAGGGGTCCTCTACATCCGGCCCCAAGCCACCTGGATCCTGCCCAGCTTGGAGTTCAGAGCAAGTTCTGGGAAACCAGCTGAGAGAGAGAGAAAAACCCAATTAACCTTGTTTCCAGGGCAAGTTAGGAATCACAACCTGGGATGAAGCCGAATTCCTTTCTTCCAAATGCCCCTGCCTGGCCAGGCCCAGCACTAAGGCTCACATCAGCTCCTTCAGGTTAGGGTCAGAATGTGCACCATGCAAGCTCCCCACTCCTCACCGAAGTGGGGAACAGAGAAGATGGACCAAAACCTGTCTCTAAAGAATAAAAGTGATTCAGAGATCTATTAGATCTCATTAGCCACCCACAGGGAAGAACCCCAGTGACAATGGGCTCACTCTCACTCTAGAGAGGTGGTCTTGAGAGAAATCCAGGGAACGTGGGGAATGTTTTTAAAGAATTAGCAATGAAAGTCTCCAAGGAAGTCTCTCTGCTGGAGAATTCCTATGGGCGCTGCTCCGCAGTCCCAGATGCTGGCCTCCTATGGCAGCAAGAAGAGAAAATATTGGATACGGGTCAGCACTGTGGAGTGGACAGCTCCCCGGCTTGTCCCTCGGCCTGCGAAGAGGCAAGGTGTGCGTATGAGAGGGAGGGAGTTGTTTATAATCAGAAGAAGTGTGGGCTCTTAGTGGCGTCGCTGAGCACAGTGGCAGCATCCTCAGATCCCTCTTGACATCCAGACTTCCGCCTTTCCCTTCCCTGCACCCTTCGGAGCCATTAGCCTGTCTTACCTCCTCACCCCTGAACAATACTACATTCAAACTCACTTCGAAGGAGTGATGGTGGGTTTTGTTTGTTTTGTTTTGTTTTGTTTGGGAGGCACCAATGGCAGCTACTTTAGGTGAATTCCTAAGTCTCCTTAGGTTTTAGGATTCCAGATCCCCTTTAGGACCCAGATCCCCTTTCAAATATTTCAGAAGGAGGAGGCATCTTTTTGGGAAAGTCTACTGGAGCTGCCTCTACCTCTAGGGGTTAGAGGAAAAAACTAAGTGAGGTCTGAGGGAAAGCGGGTCTTCCTGTGTGCTGTCCTCTGAGCCCCCCTTTCTCCTTCTCCTGAAGCAGGGAAGGAGGCTGCTTCAGGTATTAGTTGGTGCTGTCTCCTTTTGCTCATGATTAGGTCTTGTCCTTAATCAGGATCCCTCTCCAGATTCAGTCACCTCATAGACTTATCCATATCCCTAAAATATCAATATCCCTGGTGCCAGAAGAGTCCATTCCTTTGAACCCACTGAAACACAAATTCAAGGTGGAAAGGAGGTTTCTCCATTAATATTTTGTCCTCATGATCTTATTTTTTAAATGCAAGAAAATCCATTTCTGCCTCCAACGTTCTCTTTATTTCCAGTAAGCAGAGGTTGTGAAATGGTGGGGTAGTCCCACTTTGATAATTTTTCATTGATGAATAGATGTTTTGTTTTCAAAGAAGATCCTTGAGTGTTTTGGGGAGCTGAATGAACGTAAGTAGATCACAGGGGTGCTTTGTGCTGGGTGCCAATGTAAATCTGGGTGGGGCCTAGGAGAAGCTGCAAGTATGACTGTTTACGAGCCCACCGGGTGTGTGTGAAGGTCTTGCAGTTTGGAAACCCCACCCAGGAATGTCCACCGTCACTCTCTCAGGCTTCTGAACAGTCTCTCCACATAGCCTCCATCACCCCAGCTCCAGATCAATCCTGTCCCCATCCATAAAAGGAGGCCACTGTGAGAAACCGGGTCTGCTTTGCATCTCATTTACATAAATATTTATTAATCGTCATTAAACTCAACAGAAACACGCAATGCACTTCGGGTGTCCGACGGGAGTTTCGTCTTCGCTACAAGAGGAAGGTAAAATTGCGTGTGTGGGGGGGTGTCGCCTGTGGGTTTGCGGTTTTTTTGTTTTTTTGTTTTTTGCATCGAGTGTTTGGGTGCCTGATTCCCTGCCTCTGGAGCGGAGAGGTTCACCTGTTGCCTCTTTTGCCGGAAATCTCCAAAAGGGGCCCTCAGTTCTCCCAGCTCACTGGATGACAAAAGTCAGGAGGAGCCTAGAACCAAAACACAAAACAAAACAAAAAACAAAAGCAACAACAACAACAACAACAAAAATCCCCCCAAAACAACAACAACAACAAAACGAAACAAAACAAAACAAAAAAACCTCTCCAGCCACCAGAAGTCACCAGGAGCTTGGCGCCCACCGAGGCACAATCCGGGCAGGGGTAGGGCTACCCCCAGGTCTAGGCTCCTCCATCTCACCCCAGGAGGGACGGGAGTGCCTGTAGAGAGGAGGAGCCAGGAGACTCACCTCCTCCTGTCCCCGGACGCCCGCGTCGGGCCTGCGTGTGCGTGCGGTGTGGTGTGCGTGTGTCTCTCATGCAAACCCTCCCTCCCCAAACCGACCCCCCAACAGTTTGCCATTCCATACAAATTTGGAAACAGGTTTTTAGAAAACAGTATGACGCACAACGGGACAGGGTGGGGGGAGGGCAGTGGTACTGGGGCTCCAAATCTCCGAGTCATTGATTGTAAAAACCTGGGGGGGAGGGGCGGCGCGGGCCCCCACTTCACCAAAGTGCACAGATCCGCGCTTGGGCGGGGCAGCCAGCGGACCCGAGGGGCGTCCCGGGCCGGGCTGCTAGGCTCAGTCAGAACCTTCTTGCATAGATATTTGTGTCTCTTTAAAAATTATTATTGGTAGTATTTATTATTATTATTATTATCATTATTATTATTTTGCCTTTTATTGCTTCTAAAAGTTCTTACTGCGTTTTCTCTCCGATCCGGACTCTGAGTTCGGCCTCTGTCGCCTCTTAGCTTTTTTTTTTTTTTTTTTTCTTTTGTATGCTTGTTTTTTTAAAAAGGGAAAAGGAAACATGATTCTAGTTACAAATTGACTTGGCCTCTCTCTGTCCTCTCAATCCACATCCCCTCCCACCAAAATAAAAATTAAAAAACGCGGAGATTCGGGTTGGGGTGAAGGCGTTTGGGCGCCCTGGCTTTTGCCCTCTTCGAGAAGGAAGAGATACCAACTCCTTTCGGCCTGGGCAGCTCAGTGTCTTTTTAAAAAGTAATCATAAGCGGAGACACTAACCCGAAACTCAGCTGCCCCTTACCAAAGCCTCCTGGCCTACTGGGAGGTGGGGAGAGAAAACCCAAGTTTGGGAATGCCTAAGGAGTCTCCAGGGAGGGCCGGGAGGGAGGTCCCTAGAGATGCACTCCACGGGAGAAGGGAGGAGGAAGCCCGTTGGGAAAGAGAAGGCGAGTCCCCAGGGAGAAGCGAGGCCCCTGGGACGGGCCACCCACAGGTAGGAGACCGCGCCAGCCCTAGAGAGCCGCAGAACCGGCGGCCCACGCCCCGCGCGCCTGGCGCTGGAGTCGGTGGGAGCCCCTGAGCTCGCGGGGCTGGGGCTAGGGGGCCGGGCAAAGGCAAAGAAAAAGAAAGGGGCCGGCGCGAGGTCTCAGTTATGGAAAAACGCGTTGAGCTCCTCGTACATGGGGCCCCGGTCGTGGTGAAGGTGCATATCGTAAGACAAGAGATTCTCGGAGTGGACGCCCCCGCGCACGGCCGACGAGCCGAAGACCAGCCCGTGGCCCGCGGGCCGCGAGCCGGGCAGCGCCGAGTAGTGCATAGAGTAGTGGTAGCTCTTCTCGTGGTCGGGAGACGAGTCCTGCTTGAGTGAGAAGTTGCCGTTGAGACAGAGCGGGGGGCTGAGCGGGCCCTCGTACTCAGAGCTGTTGTAGTCCGGGCTGGCACCTCCGCCACCCGCCGCCGCGTACAGCGTCTCGTAGGCGGCGCAGTAGCCGTGGGTCCGCAGGGCGTGCGCTGCGCCTCCGCCCAGGCCGCCGGCCGCCTGGCACTGTGCGCCCGCCAGGCGGGAGCACGGGTACGGGTACGGGTGCATGGCGAACGGGCCACCCGAGCCGTGGAAGCGGCCGGCGCCGTCCGCGCCCTGCTCTGTGAGGAAGTTACGAGAGTTGAGCTGCAGGCAGCCAGCCACCAGATTTGTGGTGGGTTGCGACAGCCCCTTGCACAGAGTCTGCACGTAGGACACCAGATCCGGCCTCTTGCCGGAGCGCAAGATCTCCGAGAGAGCCCAGATGTAGTTCTTGGCCAGGCGCAGGGTCTCGATCTTGGACAGCTTCTGCGTCTTGGAGTAGCAGGGCACTACCTTGCGCAGGTTGTCCAGCGCGGCGTTCAGGTCGTGCATGCGGTTGCGTTCCCGCGCGTTGGCCTTCTGTCGCCGCAGCTTGGAGCGCTCCAGACGTGCCTTGGTCATCTTGCGTTTCTTCGGCCCGCGCTTCTTGGGCCGCTCGCCTTCCGCCTCGTCCAACCCTTCCTCCTCCTCCTCTTCCTCCTCCTCCTCGCCGCCCAGCTCGCCTTCCTCCTTGACCTCGGCCAACGTGGCTTCGGGGACCTCTTCTCCACGGAGGGACACCGGCTTGGAGGCCCGGGCGGGTCCTGGAGCCCCCGACCCAGGAGCAGGCGGAGGCTGCGGTGGCGCGTCGCCCTTGTCGCTTCTCGGCTCGTCGTCGTCGCCGTCGCCCCAGCTGGCGAACTTGGGCACGTCCGAGAGGAGGCCAGGCTCGCTGAACAGGCGGGTCAGCATGGTGCCTAAGGGCGCCCCGGGGGCGGAAAGACAGAGCACAGAGTGAGGGGCGCGCCGGGGGTCACCACGGCCCCCCAACCCTCCTCCACCCCGAGATTCCTTGCGCGCTCCAGCTCAGAGGGCCCCCGATGCCCACCACGTTCCGCTGCCCCGCCCAGAGCCGGCCCAGCCCTGCCCGGCTGCCGGCGGGGTTCAGCGGCCCAGGCCGTCGCCCCAGAGCCGGGCCCGGCTCCGCCCCTGGCCGGGAAGGAGGCCGCTCCCGGCCGGTGTCGGGGTCCCAGAGATCGTGGACCCGGTGGTGTGCCAAGGGGCCAGGTTCCTCTGCCCGGGGAGGCGGTGCTCTCGCCCGAAAGCCTGCTCTCTCCGGGTGATGGAGAGAAGCTGGGCGGCCGCCGTGGGGACAGCTGCCCGGTTCCTTGGTTCCGCGGCCCGGGCCCCTCGGCCCGGCTCCCCCTGCCCTCGGGTGCCTCTCACCCCCACGCTCCCTAATCCAATTTGCAAGTTGGCCGCTCGCCGCCCCCGGCCCGGCCCCCACCCCCGCAGCCCCAATTCCAGACGCCCGGAGCACCGTCTCCTCTAGCCGCTGCTGCGTCCGGGTCTCCCGGAGCCGGCTCCGGGTGGCGAGGACTGAAGAAGCCGGGCGTGGGGAGGAGACCCAGAAGCGAACCCTGTCCGTCTCCCCTGCGGTCAGGGACCCCCTTCCCCCCTTCAAACTGCCTCCCTCCCACACGTCTCTTCAGATCTCGTTGTATTTTGGGATCCATGGGGGGGAAAAGCCAAATTTGTTTGTTTGCTTATCTTTTTTTGGTGGCAGGGAAAGGTCGCGGGTTCCTTCGGGACAGTCATGGGGGGGTCCCCCATCTTCGCCTCTTCGCGCGCCTCATGACCCTGCCCCCCCCCGGCCCATCCTAGGCAGAGGGTGCTCCCTCCGCAGCCCCTTGAGCTGCGGGCCCCAGTGGGAGAGAGAACCCGGGGCGCCCCAATGCCCACCCAGTGAGGGGGTAGAGTCCCAGGAATGGGGGATCTGGGGGGACTTTCATGTCCGAAGCAGCGCCCCCCCCTCCCAAACGGCAGGTCAGATCTAGCTCCCTCTCGGACAACTTACCTCAGAGAGGAGTCAAGGGGAGAGGGGAGGGGAGGGGGGAGGGGGCAAGAGAGAGAGGGGGGGGAGAAGAGGAATCTTCTCGCTTATTTCATTGTTCCCCCATCTTCGGGGAGCGGGGGCAGCGGTTCCTCAAGGCGGCGGGCGCCGGCGTCTTCAGAGCGCCATGCGAGCCGCGGAGCGAGTGTGGCATCTCTACCAGGCGGGGTACCAGCCTCTATGCCAGGCCATATGGGCTTGGCACGTCACGGGCAGCAGCTATCACATGAGAGACGGTGATTGGCATGCGTCTGCATTGGGGGAGAGCCGGCTCCCCCGGGACCCGCCGCCATCTGTCACTCTCTACTCCAAAAAAAAAAAAAAATTAAATAAATAAAGGAAATAAATAAATATCTCTGCCGCCCTCCCCTCCCTGCCCAACGCAGGGAAAGCAGGGATTGAGAGGGAGGTGGGAGGATTTGCCCCCCTCAGATACAGAGCCCCCCATATGGGAACAATGGGGTAGCAAGTCTGGGGGAGCTGGAGGTTTGTGGTGGCGGCCAATGCTAGGCTCTCTCCAGGGTCTTGATCTGTCCATTTCCCTGTCTCCTGGTCCCTAAGGTGGGTCAGAACCAGACCCTAGGGTATGGAGAAGGGACCTCCGTGCTTACTCCCACTCCCCAAGAGGGTCCCCTCCACCACAAAGGGACAGCTGAGGCCTCCTTCCAGGGTGGGTGTGGGGGGCATCCCTGACCCAAGCCCCATAGGTAGATGCTGGCATCATGCCATTCCTCCTCCCTGTCTGCCCCTCCCCCACCCACCCTCATGCACACACAACATATGTGACTGAACGAAATTCAAACCAAGGGAAAGACAGAGAAAGGGAAAGGTTTGCCTGCCTGGGTGTCTGTGTCTGCATGGGCGTGTGTGTGTGTGTGTGTGTGTGTGTGTGTGTGTGTGTGTGTGTGTCTGTGGGGACATGTGTGTCTATCTGTGGAGTCATCACATAGGGATGTTTCCTTGGGTGTCAAGGGCATATGTGTGCTGAGGTGGGGTGGGGAGGAACTTGGAGATGAACTATGTGTCCCCCATCTGGGGTGAGGGTGGGCCCATACCTGGATTCCTAACCCAGAAACCTTCCTCTCCCTCCGACTTACGTCCGTCCTTACTACCTCTAATCCTCCCTGGCCAGGTAGTGGCTTTCTCTTGGCCTTCTGATTTGGTTAGTTGGACGGAGGATATGGTTGGTTGGGGACAGCCTAGAGTTCCTAGAGGGGACCCAAACATTCTCCCCCTGCAGAAAACACAAAAAGCAGAGGTTGACCCAAGCATTCCCAGGGGAGGCTAGGGGTGAGCCAGGCAGGTGTCTTGCTCAGGGAGCTAGGAATGGATGCTTTATTTGACTTTACAGTTCCCATCTCAACCCTCTTATCATGCCAGACACAGATGTAAATGGTACAGGTTGAAGGTAGGAGCTTCAGACACACCTACCCACCCCGTTCCTCACTCTGTGATGCAGAAAATGGAAACACCCCTATTCAGAGAGACAACCCCTGTGTGAGCAAGGACTCACGGCCAGGGGTAGAGACCTTTGCCCACTCTGCATTCAAGCAGGGGCTGCCTTCAGGCCTCAATTTCCCGTCTGCCCCTTGGTCTACCAGTGTGCACCCAACTCTGGCTCCACTTCCAGCACACACTGAAGGGCACAAGGCGGAGAGAGAGGAGGACCCCCCTCCAATCCCTCAATTCAGGTGGGTGTCCTCTGGTCTCACCCGGATTAGCTTCCTCCAGGGGAAGGTAAGACATGGATCTGATGTTGCACATTGAACAGGGTGCTACATAGAGACACATACTGCCTTGGAAAGGGGCCTATGAAGCTGTCCAGGGTGCTTAGAGGTCAGGGGCTGAAAGGTCAGAACAAGAGCACTCGCTCTTCCTTCCACAGAAGCCGCCCCAGGGAAATGGATGTCGCTAGGAACAACAAGGAGAGGAAGCGGAGACTAGAACCCAGGGCTCCCCCAACCCCACAATTGCCTTGGTGGTCTTCAAGGACAAGTAGCTCTTCCTAGGGTCTGCAATTAGGAAGTTCACCTGAGTCAGCCAGCCTGGCAGTGAGGTGGGAAAGTGGGATTGAGGCCAAGGCAGGAGTGAAATGGTGGACTTCCCGGGAGGCTCGGCAAAGACCCCTCCAGTTTTAGGTTACACACACTACAGGAGCTTCTGATTTTTGGTCAGCTCTGCTCACCAACTTTTCATTTTGTTTTTGAGATGAGGGTCTCACTATGTACTCTTGACTATCCTGGAATTCACTATGTAGACCAGGCTGGTCCTGAACTCTGCCTCCAGAGTGCTGGGATTAAAGGCCTGCACCACCACTTTGTAAAAGAAAATGCTGAATTCCAGGCTGGGGATTTAGCTCTAGGGTAGGGCACTTGGCCTGGAGAGCCCAAGGCCCTGGGTTTGAATCTCATAACAAACTCCTTTCAGATGTCCTCAGAATGGATTTCCCTATCTGTGCAACAGAGGCCACCATTCTGCCCCCTTTAAAGGGCTGTTGTTAACACTACGTAGGGTGATAGGTTAATGAGCCGGCAAAGGGCCAGCAATAAAAGAATCTTCCAATAAATGCCAGCCTTTATTTTTATTAAGACACGTTGTCAATTGCTTTATAATGTTAATTTCTTGCATATATCCCTTCCCCAATTACAATGTTTTGTCTACAAAGAATCCGAAGTTTTGTTAAATTAATGGGTGAATGTATGAATGGGTAAACGGACGAATGCTTCCTTGGCGGAGAAAAACATCAAGAATTGGGTTAAGCCACTGGGGGCTGGTAGGACCCTGTGGATGAGGGCAGACCTTGCTGAGGATCGGGGCACGCTGGAGGTCTACCTCTCCCCTCTCCCCCCCTCTCCCATCTCTGTTTTCTAGATCTGAAGAGCCTCCTTCAGGGGCTCCTGCAGGGGAAGAAGGCCTGAGGTAGGGGTGGGGTGGCCACCCCCCCCCCCCGGGCCTCTCTCCTTCTCCTGATCCTTCTTCCCTTCTTCAGAAAAATGGAACAAGTCTTTCTCACTCGACACATTTCAACTTTAGCTTTTTTAGAAGATACAATAAAAACCAGGGGAAACTGGAACAGGGGGAGGTGTGGGACGGGCCCGCCTCAGACATGAGCCGAAGGAGGTACCCCACGTGTGTCCACATACACACGAGCAGGCATTAACACGCCGGGACATGCACGCTCCTCTCTGCACTCAGAGATGCAGTGACGGAGAGACAGAAAGAGCCAGAAATGGAAGAAGGAGACGAAAGGAGAAGGACACCCAGAGATGCCATCTGTTCCTCCCCGTGGCATGGGGGGAAGGGAGCTGGTGAGGGGCCTGGTCCCCTCCAGGTCTCCGGGAGGGAAGGAGGACGGCGGGCACTTCAGCCAGGCCGGGGAGACTTCCATTCCTGCTGCCCACACCTCGGGGTGGGAGCAGGAGCTGGGGGGCCTGGGGTTCCCATGGAGACATAGCCCCATCCCAGGGGAGCCCAGGGGCTGGGCACCTAAGATGGCTGCCTCAGAGGGGCAGCGGCCATTTTGTTCAGGCTGGGGCCTGAGGGGCAGGGGTGAGGGGCTGCGGGGTGAGGGGCTGAGGGGTGAGGGGCTGAGGGGCTGAGGGGCAGGGCTGAGGGGCTGAGGGAGGGAGGACTGAGAGGCTGAGGGAGGGAGGGCTGAGGGGCTGAGGGGCTGAGGGGCAGGGCTGAGGGAGGAGGGGTGAGGGCCTGGGGAGGGAGGGATGAGGGGCAGGGGTGAGGGGCTGAGGGAGGAAGGGATGAGGGGCAGGGGGGCAGGGCTGAGGGGCTGAGGGAGGCAGGGGAGAGGGCCTGGGGGGAGGCAGGGGTGAGGGGCTGAGGGACAGGGGTGAGTGGCAGGGGTGAGGCCCCGGAGGAGGAGGGAGGGCAGAGGTGGCAGGGAGGAGAAGTCATTCCTGAACAGACGGGGAATCTAGCTCAGGGGACAGGGAGGATGGACCCGGAAGCTGCTCCTTCTGCGCCCCTTGTCCTCCCCCATAAATCACCCGGACGTGAACCTGCAAGCGCCCCCTCCATTCTGACCCCCAGGACAGACGTGAACCTGCAAGCGCCCCCCCTATTCTGACCCCCGAGGACAGCTAGCAGCCCCCCCCCCGGCACCCCCAGATCAGACTGGTCGGTGGCCTGTGTGAGCAAGGAGGTTTGCTTGCTCTCCCACCACAGCCGGCCCAGGGAGCAGGTGGGTCAGCCCAGGTGCCCACCCGCTGGCTGCTGCAGCCAGACCGGGCCTGTCTGTCTCCGGGGTCTCCCGGGGCCCCCGGGCTGGGCGGGCAGGTGAGCGGACCGGTCTCCTCCGGAGGTGTGGGGGGAGGGCAGGGCGCAGACCCTCGAAGTCCGGAGCTCCTGGCAGGCGCTGTGCTGGGGGGGAGGAGGAGGAGGCGCCGACTGGCACTGCCCAGGGAGCACAATCTCCTCCTCCTCCTCCTCCTCCTCCTCCTCCTCCTCCTCCAGCAGCGGTTCGGATGCTCGGGCTCCACCCGGAGCCCGGGAGCACCTGCCGCCCCCCCCCCCACCTCCCCCGGCCCCCTGCCCCACCTCCAGCGCAGAGGACGCTGGGGGAGGGGGACCTGCCGCTTCCCCCTGGCTCCAGGGTGGGCACCTGCCCCGCTGCCCCCTCCCCCGCCCGCCGCAGTGTGCCGGGGAGCGACGGGCGCGCCAGATGGCGTGGCTGAGAATGCGGCGACGTTGCCGGGAGGTGAGGGCTGGCACGGGTGATATGCGGCTGCGTGCCTCGTGGTGCCACTGGGGAGGGGGAGGGGAGGCTGCGGAGGTGTAGCCCCCCCCCTCCTCCGGTGGACCTGCCGTCCTGACCCCAGCTCACGACCCGGATTCTCCTGCCTGCCCTTCCCCGGCCGGCCTGCCGCGCCCCAGGCTGGGCCTCGGTCCCACCCAGAACTGGGAGGGCCTAGCAGGAGCTGAGAGTCCCCGGACCGCTGCTGCCATCCCCTCCTGGCGACCCAAGACAGATGACAGGTGGAAGGGACGCCAGGTCCTCCAGCCAGGACCCTTGTTCCAAAAGTGTGGTGACCTTTGCCCCTGTAGCCTTTGACCTCTGTGCCCTGCTTTTGTGAGAATTCATCTTCCTTCCCGAGAAGTTTCCCCCGGACACACCTCGGGGCTGCACTCCTGTTGGGAGGTTCCCGGCTCCCACTTGTCCTCCTGTTTGGGATGGTTTGAGTCCGGGGCTCTCGAGTCACCCATGCTGCTTGGCTGTAGGGAGACGGGGTGGGGTGGGGGGCGCAATTTTGAGCCATTTTGAGTCTCCTGGGGGTAAAACCAGGGTCGCTGA